GGAAGTGGCCTCAGTCTCACGTTGCCTGAGGAAGTCACATGGTTTCTGTCCCACTGCTGACGACAGAGAAGCAAGTCCAGGCTGCCGGGTGAGGCGGTGCCGACAGGCTCCGTGCGCCGGGGCCGCTTCCAGACCATCGGTGTGGAGCAGCAGCCGGGGCATTCGCTCAGTGGCGGGGAGCACGGTTAACTTGATATGGATCGTAGCGTCCTATGTGAAGCCTTCGGCGAGAAATCACAATATGGTAAAATCAGAATGCTCTGAAGAAGGCGTGGATGGTTCCGCATAAAGAAACCTATTTACATAACGCGCATTCGCGAATGTCTGTGAGCGCCAGCTCTGTGCCGGAGCAACGGGACGGACTCGGCCGGACGTCCTGCCTCTCCGGTTACAGCCCCCTCTGTGATTCCCTCTCAGTTTTAAGTGTCTGCGTGTTTACCGTTGGTCTTCCGTCACGAAAATGCCATTTCTCCAAGATCGATGTCCTTTTCTGTCCTGTTCACAACTGTACTCACAATGTCTAATAAAGAACCTAACACGTCATAGCTGACATAATCGCTCACCATTTGTTGCATTAGTCCAATATTTATGTAGTGTCTCTTCCTTTAATATTCTTTATTCGGTGAGTTAATACGTCTGTGAATTAATGGATGACAGTATTTCTAACTGTCACCGAGCCTGTAATTTTGTGGAGAAAACAGACATTCCGACAGGTACTTCAGTGGTCAGTGTCAAAAATCTCAGTTTTCTAAGCATGTGTTTTGTATTCTAGCTAATCTACTGAATAAAAGATGGGAATTATTTTGCAGGAAGCTTCTACAACTTCCTCTCGAGAAAAGTCTGGAAAACTAGAAGCACAAAGCAGTACCTTCCTGTTTCCCAAAGCCTGTCACCAAAGGACACGCAGCAACTCAACCAGTAAGTGACTCGGCATACTGTCTTCAGGTTCAGGCGTGGCCGAACGCAGGGATGGCAGCGATGTGGGACACTGGGGGAGGGCGGGTCTCCGCTGGTCCGGCTGGGCGCAGCCACGACTGCTCTGCTCGGCCCTCTGTTCTCGTCCCCAGCGCGTCCCTCTGCTGTCACCTCGCTGGTGGACTCGGCTCCTCCTCCAGCGGGACTTGTGACAGGATGAAAGACAGGGCTTTATTCCTGCGGTGTCCTGTGACATCCTCCTTGGTCTTAGCAAGGCCACTGTCTCTCCTTGGCCTGTCACCTCACCTGTAATGGGGTGGGGTAGAGGCTGGAAGGCGTCAGGACGCTCGGTGGTTCCAGTAGGAGGCTGCAGGAGAGCATGCAGGAATTAGCGCACCAGACCCCAGAATCGGAGGCAGCCTGTGTCAGCGTTTGCAATGGTTTCCTCCTGTGACTGGACGTGCCGATGGCACACACGCGCCTTTACCTAATGTCATTGGCAGTTCTTTCGCAGACACCGTCTCTAGTGGATACGTTTCATTATGTGAACACACATTATCTAGTTAACCAACTCCCTATTTCGTAAGTTATTCTCAGCTTTTCATTAACATCCTCAACCGTGCTGAGGTTGCTCGTGAAATATTACTTGCATTTGGAGTGGTTTTATTGGGGGAGATGTCAAAGGTGTTGGGCAGGTGCGTGGTTGTGAGCTCACGTTTGGGAGTGAAGGCACCTGGTTTTAGACCCTGCTTCCAGAAGGAAGTAGGCGCGTGACCGTGGGCGAGCCCCCTTAGACTAGGTGTTGCATTAAATTAATAATTCTCTATTTTTGACTGCTAATTGCTTTTATTTACTTACAGAATTTATTTTCCAGTTACAGTTGACATACGTCATATTAGTTTCAGGTGTACGACATGGTGATTAGATATTTTTATACCTTTTGAAGTGACCACCCCAGTATAGCTGCTTTTTTTATCGTTTTTTTTTTCCCTTAGCATAATTTCCTAAAAATGGGGTTTTAGAAAGTAAGTATACCTTAGATTGTGACCTGTGCTGCCAGTAGCTCATATTCTAACAATGTACGTGAATGCCTGTTTCTTTAGTCAGGCCCGCATAGATTCTAATTTCTAAAAATATTTGTAAGTTTTTCTCTAGTTTCCTGCCCCCAGCCATTATCGGCCTTTTTTTTCTGTCTTGTTTTGCACCCAGAACCAGCTACACAATTTGTGGGGATTGGTGTAAAATGAAAATGTGAGACCCCTCTTCAGAAATTTAGAAATTAAAATGGCAACAGCAGCGTGTTGAACCTTCTGAGTGTGGGGCTCTGACGTCACAGGTCACATGGCTGTGAAGCCAGCCCCACTCGCGCCCTGGGCACTGGCTCTTCCAGGTGGCGGCACCACCCAGGCCCCCTGGGCCTCCGGTCCCAGTGGAGTTCAGTCAATAGGATCAACAGGCGCTGGAGGGTCGTGTCCTTCTGCAGCTCTGGTGATGCCGCCGCCCAGCCCACTGGCTCTGGGAACGCCTGTCCTGCCCTGCCCTTCAGGCCTGGTGGCCGTCAAGCCGCCAGCCCTTGCCAGCTCTTGCCAGCTGCGGGGTGTCCCGAACCCTGTCTCCGCCTTCGTATGTGGCCCCTCATTCCATCTCCTCACAGCCCTAGCCGAGATGCCTTCAGCTGCTTGTCGAAACCCTGAGCGGTCTGCTCGCTCGTGTCACACGCGTGGAAGGCAGCAGCTGCCCACTCGGGCGAGCTGAGATGGCCTGCGCGTCTTACGTTCCCTTTGCGTGAGCGCGCCTGTGTCTCTGCTGGGATGAGCATTCTTTAATCATTTTAATAATTGTTGAACATACTTTTCTCAGTTTGTTGTTTTTCTTTTAATTTTTTTCTGCATGAAGATGTTCTCATTTTTATATACTCATCAAATCTATCGATCCCCCCCTTCTAATGTTAAGGTTTGTTTTACATCCAGAGAACTATTAAATAATTGGCTATATTTTCTTCTAGTTTTTAAATGACTTTTTTCCTTAACTTACTAGATCCGTAATTTATTTTTGGTGTTTGATATGAAGAAAGGATCTGGACAGATTTTTTTCCTAAGCAGGTAGCTGATTCCAGTATCACTCGTTGATAACCGGTTTCTGCCCATCCATGTTTTCCTCTTTTTATCTCTTGCAAATGATACGCCATTAGATCTTGAAAGCAAATTTGGCAGCCTCTTTAAAGACGAAAGCAGCTCAAGCCATTGATATTAGTATTATAAATAACACTTACTTTTATTATTTCTATGCTTTCTCTTTTTCTGGTTGCTTGTCATTTGTTTTCTGCCTCTTGCTCTATGTATGTGTTTAATTTTTGCAGAGATTTTTTTTTTAATGGTGACATTGGTTAACGAAATCCAGTAAGTTTCAGGTGTACAATTCAACAGTAAGACATATGTATATTGCATGCGTGTTAACCGCCTATAGTTAGATTTCTTTCTGTCACCATAACTTTGATCCCTTTTACCCCATTTGCCTCCCCTCCTCACCCTCTGGTCCGTGAGTCTCTGTTTGTTTGTTGCTTGTAGGTTTATATCCCACGTATAAGTGATATCATGTGGTTTTTCTACTTTTTCTGTCTGGCTTATTTCGCTTAGCATGATTATCTCAAGGTCCATCCATGTCGTTGCAAACGGCAATATTTCATCTCTTCCTATGGCTGAGTAATATTCCATTGTATGTATGTACCACCGTTTCTTTATTCAGTCATCTACTGTAGGACACTTCGCTTGCTTCCATATCCTGGCCACTGTGAATAATGCTGCTATGAGCATTGGTGTGCAAATATCTTTTCAGATATATATTTTCAAGTCTTTGGGGTAAATACCCAGTAGAGGGATTGCTGGATCATATGATGGATCAATTCTTAGTTTTTGGAGGAACCTCCATACTGTTTTCCATAGTGGCTGTACCAGTATGCAGTCCCACCAGCGGTGTATGAGGGTTCCTATTTCTCCGCATCCTCTCCAGCACTTGTTATTACTTGTCCTGTTGATAACAGCTCTTCTAACAGGTGTGAGATGGTAGCTCATTATGGCTTTGGTTTGCCTTTCCCTAAGAGCTAGCGATGTTGAGCATCCTTTCATATGTTTGTTGGCCCTTTGTATGTCTTCTTGGGAGAAGTGTCTGTTAAGGTCCTCTGCCCATTTTTTAATTGCATTTTGTTATTGTTGTTGAGTCGTATGAGTTTTTTGTATATTTTGGATATTAGGTCCTTATCAGAGGTATTGCTTGCAATTGTATTTTCCCATTCAAATGGTTGTCTCTTTACTTTGTTGATGGTTTCTTTTGCTGTGTAGAAGCTTTTAAATTTGATGTAGTCTCATTCACTTATTTTTGCTTTTACTTCCCCTGCCTTTGAGGTCAAATTCATAAAATCCTCTTTAAGTCCAAGGTCCGAAAGTTTAGCTCCTTTATTATGTCAGGTCTTATGTTCAGGTCCTTAATCCATTCTGAGTTAATTTTGGTGTGTGGTGATAGACACCAATCTAGTTTCATTCTTTTGTAGGTGGCTTTTCCCAGCACCATTTAATGAAGAGACTTTCCTTTCTCCACTGTATGTTTTTGGTTCTTTTGTAGAAAATTATTTGCCCATATAAACAGGGGTTTACTTCTGGAATTTCTGTAGAGATTTTGAAGGTTTATTCAATTTTTATCTCCAGTTCTGATTTCCTTTAAGATAGTCAATCAGGTTTAATCCGTTAATGTTTGAGACTGTTTTCGAATCGTCCCCCTAATGAAAGATGGTGTTGTTCATTTCTGGTCCCAGTTCCCACTTATTTTTCCATTTCATAATCCAACTTAACTTTAAATCACAAACCCATTATATAATCATCACGATACATGATTTCTCTCTCAAACATTGCTTTGGCTTATGCATTGGATTTTATAACCACGTTTTCAGTGAACTCGCTGAGGGCTGTGTGTTTAACTGGTTTCCACTTCCGCTTGCACGAGAGAATAATTCTGATGTTTTTCCTTGCGGTCGGAGCGCATGCACGAGTCATTTTCAGAAAGCGTAGGAGCGGGTGCCCCCAACTTAGGGCCCTCTCCCGTCAGTGACACGGTTCTGTCTCCTCAGCCCACCCCGGCCAGCAGCTTCCTTTCTGCGGCCAACCGAAGAGCCTAGGTTTCCCCCATCTGTAAACGGAGGCCCTGCTCCAGCCCGCCTGCCCCAGAACTGCCCCCGGTGTCACAGAGTTCGGTGGCCGACTGTCCACGCAAGCCTTGTCCTCTCACTAGTGCTGAGGGGCTCCGGGGAGACCCTGTCCTCTCCGGCCCCCATGGAGGTGTGCGGGAGGTGAGCAGACCGCGCAAAGCTCAGGGTGGGGATCGCTCGTCGCCGTCCCGTGTGTTGATTCGTTGAGGTCCAGGGTTCGGGTGTACTAGGCCCAGTAGGACATGTGATCAGCCTCACCTGTTGGCTTCTGCTGTGACTGCCGCCCCCGTTAAATCCGTGTCCCGTGGGGCGGCCGCCCTGACCGCGGGTCGGAGGGAGGGA